AGCTAATGAATAATTGCCCTTTAGTATAAGTAGATCTCATGCAGTATTTAGGCCATGTTTATAAGAAAAGAATTATTTTCTTGTTTCTCTGAAGTTCCAGTTGAATTGGTTTTCCTAATTTTTTTCCTTCTCTAGTTTCTGTCCCCACACCAACGTGTGTGTGTGTGTGTGTGTGTGTGTGTGTGTGTGTGTGTGTGTGTGTTGTTGTTGTTGTTGTTGCTGCTGCTGCTGCTGCAGGGTATTATATAGCCCTGCCTAGCCTTCAATTTACTGTTAGTTGAGGGTGATCTTGACAAACCCTTCTGCCTCTACCTTTCATACCCACATTCATCACCACCATCTTAAGGGCATTTTTAATGCCTGTTGAATGAGGCCCTTAGGATTATTTTCCTCCTGTGGCTGGCATTTTCATCTCTCTTACTGGTGGATTCATATCTGTGTCCTTTCTTTCATGAGCCCTATCGCACATTTTGACTCTTGGGTTTTAGGTAAGTATAAGTGACTGAATGTTCTAATTAAGTGTCAGCATTTGCTGTCATTTATTTATCTGTACACAAAATAGTCTGAGTAATGAAAATAGATGTCAAATATTTCATACCCCACTTCATAGACATTTGTATTGGGCTTCTGCCAATCGTTGACTTTTCAACGATTCATGTTATTTGTAATTATAATTATATGTGGGACCATCTAGCCCAGGTACTCTGCAAATGCAGGACATACAATTCACCACCGAGCCATCTGAATTCTTCGTTACTGTTTTATACACGCTAGATTAGGAGAGCATGGCAGCAGATGAAAGGGACTACGTGAGTTCAGGGACAACGGCAATGAGTGGATCATATGTCCACCAGGCTGCATGGTAAGACCCATCTCAAAAACCCAAATGAAACACTAACCACAGTAACAGCAGCAGCAGAGTAGAATGGGGAGATGGAGAGAAACAGACACCTGCTCTAGGAGCCCCAGGGTAACTATGTTCACGTGACGCAGCTCTGGCTACCGATGGATTCTCAGGAGGCACAAAAGTGGCATCATTCAGTGTGTCACTGAGCCATTAAATCATCCAGCAGGAGATTTTAGGACCATTTTGGTAGTAGAATAGACACCCAGTTAACCTCATCAACAGATAGGGAACATAGTGGTTCATGTTCCTTAAATACAAGTTCACTGGCTCCATGGACTGTTGATTTTAGGTGCTCAGCTAGGGTTATTGGAAAGATTTCTCTTTGCTGTTGTTGCTTTATGTTTTAAAGATAAGTTCTTTTTGTAACCTAGGCTGATCTCAAACTTACAATCCTCCTGCCTCCTGCCCACAGTGGTGAAATTTCAGGCATATTCTGTCATGCCTGGCAAACTTTTCTGTTGATCTTATCTATTTGTTATTATATTATGGTTGCTTTATTGTATGTTGAAGGTTTTCCTTATGCATGCATGCTTTTATCATGGCAAGAACGGCCAGTAGCTTTAACTGCAAGCATTTGTTTGGTTTGTTGGAGGCAGGATCTTGTGATGTAGCTGACGGTTGCAACAGCATTCTGCTGCAGGGGATTGTAGGCATCACCATACTCACCTGAGACATATAATATAAAGTCTAGTGACAACCAGGACTTACAAAGCCTCAGGATTGCCTTGTCTAGATGATATGCTCATTCGTGAACCAAACATAGAGCCCGAGAAATAAATAGCATGCTATCATTGGCTAAGGCTGAGTCACATGTTGGAGCTAAGCCCAATTACATGTGAGCTGCTTGAATTGATAGTGGATGATGGATGGTTTTCCCAAGGGAAGTCAGAGTGCAACTTGCAGAAAGGAGGTGGATGAAGTTAGACGAAGCAGAAATTGCAGCATCCACCATACAGAGATCACAAGGTCACTCACTTGTTCAAAACCCTTCTTTTACAAGTGAGGAAAAGGAGATTATTCCAAATAGGCAAATGGCTTTTAGACTGGATCATTTAACATGTGTGAAAATGTTTAGTACAACATTAGGCATGGACTAGAAACTCACTTGAACTCATTGCTGTTCCTATGTAGTCCCCATCTCTGGGGACTGTCCTTTTCCTATGGAGTCTCCATCTCTGGGGACTGTCCTTACTCTCCATCTCTATTGCCTAGGCCCCTGCAGAGCCTGAGTCCTTGAGTCCTTTCTTCTCAGGCACTCCAGGGTCTTGAAGTCTTCAGCCTTCAGTGGCTACGTTAGTTTGCTGGACCTGTAGAACAAAGCAGGTTATATGATTTAAAATTTTATCTCAGTCCTGGAGCCTGGAAATCCAAGATCAAGGTGCATTGTCCTTCTCTGAGGCCTCCTTGGTGCATCGATGGTGACAGTCTCCCTGTATCTTCATATGCCTGTGTCCTAATTTTTAGTCAGAGTGGATGAGGGGCTGCTCTCCAGACCCTTGCATGTACTAAGTAAGTGTGAACTTCCATCCCCAGTTCTTAATCCCATCCTTAGAAACCCATTCCCTTTTTATAGAGTCACAGATTACTTCGAGTTGAAAAGTCAACTGAGGTGATGTGAGTTTGAGGAGAACACAATTTGGTCTTTGGCAGTTGGATAGTAAATAATACCTAAGCCTCAGAGATTTTGGTTGTGTATACTCCCGACTTAAGATAATTTTTGAGATAGCAAACCCTATTTAAATTGGGCATGGTGATGTATTCTGTAATCCTAGCCCTCGAAGGGTAGAGGCAGAAAGATTGTGAGATCAAGGTCATCCTTAGCTCCATAGCATGTTTGAGGCCAGAGCAGGGTATAAGACTCTGTCCCCTCCCCCTAGAAGACTGGGGATGTAGGTCAGTTGGTTGAGTGCTTGCCCTGCATACAAAAATAATTGGACATGGTAGTACATGCCTGTACTGTTAGCGCTTGAGAGATGGAGGTTGTAGTTCAAGGTCATTCTTGTGGATGTCACATGTGGATTAGGAGAATAGGCTGAAATACATGAGACATTATATAAAAAAAATTTAAAAACCACAAAATATAGACAAGAATAGGATCTGTGTGTGTGTGTTTGTGTGTGTGTGTGTGTCTGTCTGTCTTCCTCTCTGTGTATGTGTGTCTCTCCCTCACTCCACTCCCTCCTGGCTTTCTTCCTCTCTCATCTACACACACCAGACACATACTTTTCCATTGAACAGCACACCTCCAGCTCTACAGTCTCTTTCATCAGAACTGTCCCCGAGAGGGACCCACTCTGCTGGGTTTCTGCTTGACATACCACCCCTCGATCTCAACATGACCAAGTATGGAAAGTCTCTCCAAACCCTCACTTTACTGATGGGGGTTGGGGAGTCCTTAGATCATTTGCCAGAGTCCTACAATCTTTCATGAGGCATTCCATTTCCCAAGACTGTTCAGAATATGCGCTATGAAACATAGAAATCGGGTGAGTGGCTTGTACAAGGTAGCCTTGGGAGTTGCCAATTCAAATTCTTCATTTGGGAAATAAAAAGGAGCTATAGGATGATTTAAAAAAATGTAAATGGCAGAAACCTTAAAGAAAATGCAGGTCCATGATTCCTTTGTGAAGTCATTGAAGGGGAGGAGGAGGTCCCACAAAGTACTTTCCTCTCCGCTAATTTACCAGCCTGGAAGTAAGTTGTATTTTTTCACCCAACAGCTTTAATCGATTTCTCCTTGACTTTTCATTTATTGGGGTAAGCCTCACCCCGAGATTATTAGCTCTAGTAAATTAGATGTGGTAGCTCACGCCTGAAGTCTGAGGCGGGGACATGAAGATCAGCTTGATGAACTCAGGGACAACAGGCCTCGGATCTCATTTTCCAGACATGTTAGCCATGTGGGTTTAGACAAGTCATTTAATCGCAGGTCCTCTGTATCAGGCTTTTTCTTTTAAGCAACCAACCAGCTCCTAAATCATGACAGAGACCTATTCTTAGTTCTTGAATGCTAGACCTAACTTAGACACATTTCTGGCTAGCTCTTTTTAACTTAAATTAATCTGTTTCTCTTTATTCACCTTTGCCTCTGGGCTTATTACCTCACTTACTATATATCTTACTTTCCTTGCCTCTCTCTGTCTGCAGGGTGGCTTCTGGCCCCAGGCATCATCTCCCCCTCATTCTCTGCTCTTTCTTCTCTTGTTCTCTCAATTTTCTGTCAAGCCTAGATTTTTTTCTTCCTATTTATTCTCTCTTCCGGCCCGCCCCACCGATCCTTTTCTCTGCCCAGCTATTGATCTCTCAGGTGCCTTAGGCAGGCAAGGTGAAGGAAATGCTGCACATCTTTACATAATTAATCAAGTGCAGGATACACAGAAGCAACACTCCTTTACACAGTCAAAGTAATATTCTGCAGCATAAACAAATATGAGACATCTCTGCCCGATTAACATAATATTCTACAACAGACCTCAGTCCCTGCTGTAAAAAAATGAGGATAGTATGAACCTGCTGGCGGGTTGTTGTGAGCATTGTGAGCTAATTACTCATTGTAAAGCGCTCAGGTAGACTTGTGGAAGCCGTAAGCCTCACCCCGAGATTATTAGCTCTAGTAAATTAGATGTGGTAGCTCACGCCTGAAGTCTGAGACCGGGACATGAAGATCAGTAACCCAATGTCATCCTTGGCTGCAAATCTAGCGTGTGACCAGTCTGGGCCCCATGAGACCCTGTCTCTAGAACAACCACCAAACAAAAACATAGCTATGGTCCTTAACTGGAAAAAACAAATGCCCCCCAAAAGGTGGGCTTGTTTGTCCATACTTTCTGATACATGACTCCCTTGCTTTAAAGTCCCTAATAGGAAGGTCATAGGCATGCAGGAGTCTGTCATACAGATGAGTGAATGAATACGCATGTGTCATATAAGTACATACATGCAAATATGGAGGTCCCTGAGTGAAATGTGATGGGAATCTCCAACTTGTTTGGCTCCTTCTCCACAGGATTTTTTCTTTTTTCTTTCTTTTTTTTTTCTTTTTGGTGATTCATGTTGCCATCAGCATTGCTCAATTTCTTGTTCATCGTTTTAGGCTGAGACTCCATGAAGAAAAGGTTATTAAAGATAGACGGCATCATCTCAAGACCTACCCAAACTGCTTTGTTGCAAAAGAACTGATTGACTGGTTGATTGAGCACAAGGAAGCGTCTGACAGAGAGACGGCAATAAAACTCATGCAGAAATTAGCCGACCGGGGCATCATTCATCACGGTGAGTCAGGCGGCACCAGCAAGGTGTCTGGGGACCCAATGAAGACCACATCGATTGCATGGATGCCCTCAACACAAAGTCAGAGGAGAGAGTGATGGCACATGCTGGCTAAATAAGGAGTGTGAGGTCAATCTGGACTGTGTGAGACCCTATGTCCACAAAATCAATAACAAATAACATTTTACTTTGAATTACCTCTTCAGTACCTCTCTCCAAGGCATCTTTCCTTTAAGGGGGACTTGGGTTATTTTCATGTGCTTTCCAAGACAGTTTGCCATCTTTGACCCCTCATAAGAATGCATGTGTACTCTTTGCAACTTGATCACATGCTGTGTATCAAATTCACCAGGGTTGATAGTCTATTTCTCTGAAATTATTGTTTTTAAGGTTAGAAAAAAAAAAAAAAAAAGAAAGAAAGAAAAACCAAGGGGTTCCCACATGGTATCGTCATAAATGTGTATCGCGGATAATTAAGAATCTGGGAAAACAAATAGGCTGATGGATGTTTATTCAGGGAAAAGTCACTTAGAGCAGAAACAGATGACCGCCAGCAGTTTCCCATCCCAAGGATGCCTCCAGATGCTCTCTGTCTCCAACCAGCAAGCAAGAAAGAGTCTTGGGGTCCCCGACCCCATACCTAGTTCCCCCAGGTCACCTGTCCCCATTCCCAGTGGGCGTGGTCAGTGCAGCTGGTACAGGCGGGTGGATATCTCAGTACAAATGCATGTCACTGTGTTATATCTGGCATGCCTCCTTCACTGTCCCCACTCTACCCCTACCTGATTCTTCTCTTTCTCCCAGTTAGCTCCCCATCTACCTTCTTATCACATGTGTCGTGATCCTCTCTCTATTTTCCAACTCCTTTAAGATCTCTTCCCTGATCTCAAGACCCACATCTCTGGCTGTTCATTTTGCTGTTGTGGTATGCTGTGTATACTGTTGTATGCATAGCATGCCATGAATAGGCCTTTGTAGATTTATCTGTTCAGTTAATGACATTTAGGTTGTTTATACGTTTTGACTATTACTCTGTCTTCATTACTATTCTCTTGCTGGGAAGCAACACCATGACCAAGGCAACTTTTATAAAGGAAAGAATTTAAAAGAAAGAATTAAATATAAGTGCTTACAGTTTTAGAGTGTTTGCCTATAATTATACAGACATCATGGCTGGACAGACCTGGTGCTGGGGTAGTAACTAAGAGCTTTCCATTCTGATCAGCAGGTAGAAAGCAGAGAGGCAGACACTGGGCCTGGAGTGGGCTTTTACAACCTCAAAGGCCACGTCTGTGACACACCTCCTGCAATGACACACTTCCCAATTGTTCCTAAACAGTTCAACAACTGGGACTAAGCATGCAAATATATAAGTCTGTGAGAACCATTATCATTCAAACCATCACATTCTCCATGGTTCAATGAGCATGCATGAACATGTGTCTGCTGGCTAGTTTTATGTTGACTACATCCATACTAGATATAAACTAGAGTTACCTAGAGAGATGGAACATCATTTAAGAAACTGCTTCCATAGCTCCCTTTCGTGCACTTTTTTTTTTTTTTAATTGAAAATAGATGTGGGTGGACCCAGCTCACTATGGGCAGTGCTGTCTACCCCTGGCTGGTGGTCTTGGGTGGCATCAGAAGGCAGGCTGAGCAGGGAAGGGCAACCCAGTAATCAGCATTCCAAGACTTCTGCCTCAGTTCCTGCTTTGCTCAGGACTGTCACCTGGAAGTGTAAGATGAAATACACCCTTTCCTCCCCAAGTTTCTTTTGGTCATGATGCTTTATCACAGCAGTGGAAATCCTAAGACAATGTTTCTTGAAGTCTCAGCCTGGCCTGGACACGTGCACACTGATGTCCCTCTAAGCTAAGACAAAACATTCTCCTTATTTTTGTTCACTCACTGTTAGGTTTCTACTGGCAAATAATTCAGGGAAGCTTCCATTTCCCAAAGCTGGGGTGTCGAGGACTCCTCCATCACACTCCTACTGCAGTTTTCCCTAACCCTCTACAAATCCCTAGCATCGTTTTCGTTATACGCTGACATTTCTATTTAGATCTCTTTTGGTTCTCTGACAAAAGGGTCATACTCCAGATGGCCTCGAACTAGTAACTCTAGTTCTGCCGAGTACAGGGGTTACAGGTACGTACCACCTCGTGAAGCCTTGACTCATGTTCTTTGAGGCTCATGGTGTTCCAGTGCCATGCTTGTGAAGACCCTGGGACAAATGATGAAGTGAATTCTGAGAGCCTTTCGGTGCACGAGGGTGACAGTGGTTGGTGGTGCGCGGTCCCTCGCAGCAGGTGTCTGTGTGAGGCAGCAGTGAGGTGGGTCTTAATCTGCGGTCTCTTGGGAAGCTTTCATTTTCCTCTCTGTGTGTATTGTGTTTCAGTGTGTGACGAGCACAAGGAATTCAAGGATGTGAAACTCTTCTACCGCTTTAGAAAGGACGACGGTACCTTCCCACTGGACAACGAAGTGAAGGCCTTCATGCGAGGACAGAGGCTGTATGAAAAGTAGGTCCACCGCCATCTTGACTGGGAAGAGGGAAGTGGGCTCTAGTAGGCTTTACTTTGCTTGCTTGCTTATTTACTATGTACTTATTTTTTGCGGAAGGGTCTTATGTTGAATCCAAGCCCTATATACACAGGATGACCCTGAATTTCTGACCCTCCTGCCTCTACCTGCTGGGATTACAACTGTGTGCCACTGTTGCTTTTTGTTATGCGGTGCTGAGGGTAGAGCACTGGGCAAGTGCTGTATCAACTGAGCTTCATGAGCAGTGCATCTATCTGTCTTTTCCGGTATTGACCTCGGTGTGGCTCTTCCATGTGGGCTGGTTACATGACTGTTCCTTTTGGCGGGAGAAAGTTCTGTCACACAGTTGCTTTTCTCCTTGCCAGGAATCAAAGTTAGTTTCTTAAGATTCCTAATGCTTTATCAAAATCTTATTGTCTGTACTTAAAGACAACTGAACAAAACTCTGGAAGTGAAAACTAAAAGGATGCTATTTGATGTTTGCCATCAAGTCATGCCCTTGGCCTGTCTTCCTCGATTGATAGATGTGACTGTTTCAGAATCTGAAGGTTCAGTCTTGTACATGTTAGGGTGCGGAGAGAACTTCGTGGAGCAGGATCTGTGAGGACCGTTGTCTAGCTTTCTGGAAGCTGGAACACACCTTACATAGCACAGCAGTACTCTGCTGACAAGTCTGGAGCCTTCCAAGAGGTATGCCAGCGCTAGAGAGCTCTCCTTTTTACACAGGATCTCAGAGGCAATGCCATTCCTTAATCCTGGCTGCCTTGCAAGGCTTTGAACGTTCTGGAAACTCCTATTTGTCACATAAAAGATGCACAAGTGTCACCTGTTACACAGTGGGTGGGTGTAGGGGTTATGGTGAGGGTTTAAGAAGCCAGACGTAGGATCAAGAGGATTAAGAGCTAAGGCTCAGTTTTAGTTGTGAACAGAGGGCTTGCACATGCTTTGTGGACTCTACACCGACCTCCCGCCATCCTTCTTTCTTTGTATCTCTTCCAGCCTGGCCCACCTGTGCCTAGCCAATAATATGGTGACCATTTGATGAAAATTATGAATAGAGGCCAGGGCTATGTCTCAGATGCACTCAGCTGCCTAGCACGTGTAAGACCCAGGAGGAAGAGAGGGATTGTGGCTTTGGTTTTTTTGTTTGTTTGTTAGGTTGATTTTGGTTTTTGTGAGTTGATCAATATTCTAGGACTCTCTGTGCCTGCCATTTACTTTGTAGTCATTAATTCTCAGTATCTCAAATTACAAGTAAATTTATTTCTCTAAATTGCTTATCTAATTAGCACTAGGACAAAGGAATTTAATATGTATTTGGCCCTAAGTGACCCAGCTATGGTCTCACCAACCTTGGCCTCTGCTTTTAGTTGCTGGATCGTATTTGGAACAAACTTTGGGACCATGGAAATGGGCTCTTCATTGAATGCATTCTGCTTGTTTTATGGGTGATCTATCTATGAATGTCAGCACATTTATTTTGTAAGTTTCAGAGACTTTTATAGCATTACAAGTAAATAGTTTGTTATCTAATCAGATACTTATTTACATTTTTAGAATTAAAGGGATTTTTTTCTTCCCTACAGTATTTTTCCTAGAACATTTCTTTGGGTTATCTCTAACATTTACACATGAATGTCTTGCAAGATATTTGTTCCTTTCATCATTCTCCTTTTAAGATAATAACAGTAGGTATTTATTGATTGCAAAATACTTATCAGGGATCTTGATTAGTAGAGGTCATTGAATTACCACAGTACGGTTAATTTAGATGTTCTTATTGTCCCTATTTTATGGTAGGGGAATGTGGCAGGCAGGGTAAATCTCTTGTCCAAGGTCAACTAGTAAATCGCAGCCTCAATTTGAATTCAGAAACCTAAATCCTAGTGTAGTAGTCACTCGACTGGTCATAAGTCCTAAATCTTTCTCATTTCCCTTTGTTGAAATTAAATGAATGAATAAATAAACATTTACTCCAGAATACAGCTTACTGTAAAATGTGGCAGAGGGTTTGTGTGCTGTCAAGGTGGAGAATTTTCTGTAAAATTTTATCAAAAGTATACCAGGATCCACAGACACATGTAAGCACGAGCTCCTGCTTTGGGGCCAGTATCCCTGGTATTTTGTAAATAAGACCCCTGACATGGATCTGACCTGAATGCTTTCTTCCTAAGGAAAGGCACTGTGGCGCCAGAAGGCACCATGCCAGCTTCCAAGGGAGGGAGGTAACCAGCAGCCCTGCCCAACTATGGTGCCTGTGAACCATATCAACAACCAGCAGTAATGCAGTAGTGGCATGCATACCTTAGCAGTAACCAACAGCTCTCTTAATTGTATTCAACAGCAGGGAAACTGTACCTGGTGCTAGAAACCTAGAGCTAACTGAAGGCTATTGGAGGAAAATCTACAACCACTAATTTACTAAGGCAGCATAATCCCTAAAAACAATCTTTAAACATTTCTTCTTATACCTACAGAAAGTGTAGCCCTTACTCTTCATCAAGGAAATTTCTCTTTGCAACAGTTGGAGACCACTCGAAATGCAGAGTTGCAGATCTCAGTCTCAAAATGCTCCGCATCTGAGGCTCAGGGGACATTGCTGAAGAGGGGGAGAAAAGATTGTTAAGAGCCAGAGGATCAGGGAGTTTGCTGTGAGATTGTGTCTCCTAGTACCGTCAGAAGCTGAACAAGGATGACACCGGTGAACACGCCCAAGTGGGCAGTAAAAGCTCGTGAGGTGTCAGCCGTACACAGAGAACTGTAATGAACCCAGGTAGTGGGAGAAGTGCTCTTCCCCAGGGAAAACTCACCAATTGGCTGTCCGGGTCTAAATGGTCAGCACCGAAAACGTGCATACACGGACTTGTCATGTGAAGTGAGTAGGTTGTATTTACAAATATATATGTGCATACATATACATATATGCATGCAATAACAATTATCGAAGAAGAGGCCATGAAGTATATGGGGAGGATTTAGAGAGAGGAAAGAAGTGTTGTTATGTTATGTTATTCTTACCTACCTTAGTTGTTGAAGGGGACAAACACTTTGAATTGACCTGGCTTGACCTTGAACGTCTTAAAACCTAGGAATGACTTCTCTAATCTCACCTGGTTTGATGAGAGTTAAATCCCCTCTATGCCTGGTGAATGGTCTATTTGTCTCAGTTGGGCTCTTTTGTTGCTGTTTTATCCAAAGGACCTTGGCTTTCTTGGCAATAAGAATTTTCTCTCCAGCCACCAGCCTATTTATCCTGCTTAGGGGCTGAAATCCAAGTGGTAAGGGATGAGTGCCCTGAGATCTGTGGTTTCCCGCTGCCTTTGTTATTTTTCTCTTCTACATGACCGAAGAGGAATCAAAGGGAAAAATCATCTCCAGTGGGGAAGCGTCCGTCTGTGTGTTTTGTCTTCTCCACTGCGTGCCCCATGATGGTTCTTTTGTTCTTTCTCCGTGCCTGGCACAGTAAATGTTGTTGAATGTACAAAGGCCTCGCCATGTTGTTTCTGTGAGTCTAAGAGCTTCTGGCATGAGAGCTGCTTAATGGCAAGCAACAATAGCCAGCCTGTTTACCGTGTCTAGCCGCTGGAGCTTCCAAAGCATCGTTTTTGTTGTTGTTTGTTTTCATTTTGGTTTTTCAAGACAGGGTTTCTCTGTGTAGTCTGGAACTCACTTTGTAGACCTGGCTGGCCTCGAACACAGAGATCTACCTGCCTCTGCCTCCTGAGTACTGGGATTAAAGGTGTGTGCTGCCACCGCCTGGCACAAAGTGTCTTATATATTGTTATGCTTGAATTTCCTAACAATTTTGAGTGATATACCCAGCAGGTATAATTGATTCCATTGTAAAACTGGGGCCATGAGATACAGAGAGGCTTGAATAATTAATATAGGCCCTCAGATGGAGAGCTAGAGATGTTTCTTCACCCCTGGGGCTGGAGAAAGGACCCAACACTTAGAAGCACTTACTGCTCTTCCAGACGACCCACATTTGCCTCTCAGCCTCTACATCAGGTAGCTCACAGCTGCCTGTAATTTCAGTTCCAGGGGACACGATAACAATTTTTTGTCTGTGCTGGCACCTGCATGCATGTGGCATGCACCACACACACACACACACACACACACACACACACACACACACACACACACACACACACACATTTCTAAAATTAGATAGATCGATGATAGATAGATAGATAGATAGATAGATAGATAGATAGATAGATAGATAGATGTATGTCTTGGCAGGGGGAATGTCTTTTAAGCCTTTTGTTTAGGACTGGGAGGATGCGTCTGTGTGTATGCCAGTGGTCAGGTTCAGTATTTTTCTCACTGTCTGTTATTGGGTACTGTCTCTCACTGAATGTAGAGTTCATAGTTTAGGCTGGCTGCCCACATGCCCCAGGGACCCTCCTATCTCCATCTTTCCAGCACTGGGATTGCAGGTATATACCACCACAGAGGGCTTTCCCAAGGGTGCTGGGGATCTGAACTAGGTTCTTCGTGCTTCTCTGGCAGACATTTTCCTGATTGAGTCCTCTCCCCAGCACATCTTTAAGCCCATCTTCTTCTGTTTCCATCTTGCAGGCATTTTTCAAACTGAGGTCAGTTGGATATTTAGGTTGTTTGTTTTTGAAAGACCTGCAGAGCATGGACCTTCACGCTCCACTCAGGAAAGGGGACACCACAAACCACTCATGAGAAGCGGTCTCGATGCAAATAGCATGAGGAATTTTTATTCCAGGTGCACTGGGGTCCACAGTCATAGAACTGAGGACCTCGAGGGCAGAATTAAGACAGTTTTTATAGGGTTTACAACAAAGCCCACACATAGGTCACTGGGGTGGGGGTTTCACAAGCAGTGTACGAAGTCAGATAAACGGTTAGTTAGCTCATTTTCTGTTATCTTACTAGGTCTGAATTACGTACTCAAGGGCCTGTCTGTCATAAACAGCAAGGAGTGTGACCTTGCCTATTT